CCTTATAATTACCATCCAGAACATCAAGGTTGAGCTACGTACTGATAAACTTATGATTACCATTCAGAACATCATAGTTGAGCTACGTACTGATAAACTTATGATTACAATCCAGAACGTAAAGGTTGAGCTACGTACTAATAAACTAATGATTACAATCCAGAACATCAAGGTTGAGCTAAATACCAATAAACTAATGATTACAATCCAGAACTACATACTGATAAACTGATGATTACAATCCAGAACATCGAGTTTGAGCTACATACTTACCTATGTAGTACATAGTACATTGTTGATTACTTAGCTGTTGTTAAATTATATTACATTGTTCCTGAATGACATAGTACATTGTTGATTACTTAGCTGTTGTTGAGTTATATTACATTGTTCCTGAATGACATAGTACATTGTTGATTACTTAGCAGTTGTTGAGTTATATTACATTGTTCCTGAATGACATAGTACATTGTTGATTACTTAGCTGTTGTTGAGTTATATTACATTGTTCCTGAATGACATAGTACATTGTTGATTACTTAGCTGTTGTTGAGTTATATTACATTGTTCCTGAATGTCAGCGACTGTTAATCTCTTTATAGTCACTAGCTTAAAGTAAATTAAAAGAATGTGAAGATCTATCAATAAATAACAAAAGGACTTTAGAACTATTTACTTTACAGTAGTAAACACCCCTGGAGAATACAAGAACAACACATTTATACTTTAGAATGAAAAATTATTCTCATAACCGTACATCAGCACCACTAGCTGATCTCAACACTTTTATCCTAAACACAATGCATGTACCTTACTGGAGGTCATATCTCCCACGGACCTGTGTGCCTGTAGTGTTTTCAATTGGTCTATACACCAGTCAAATCTTTCTAGAGTCTCCATTGCTAGCTTGGCATACTGATCCTCTGTATGAAGTTTAAACTCACTGATTAGTTTTCTTTAATATGATAAGTGTGAAAAACAGAGACTTTTATTGCAAATTAGCATACAGATTTATTGACATGAAACAAAAATAACATACTCTTTTAACACTCTTTCAAATTTTGTACATTGCAATACGGTATTGAATATAAGAAAAAAAATATTAATGATTGTATTTAGAAAGACTTTTTACAAATGAACGTCTTGTCTTGAATATTAAGTGTTCATTCTTCACCTGAAGAAGGAGTACCGTGTCCTGAAACATCGTCAAATCATAATATTCAAGGCAAGATTGTATGATAGTAAAACTCTTTCTGATTATGTCCTCTTGTCAACCAATGTCTCTCAAACAGCACGTTTGTAATTAAATTTTAATTTACACAAACTGTTCAGTGTTTCATTTGACAAAATTAAAAACTGTAACATTTAACGAATTATTCAACAAGCTTTAAGGGTACAGAGTCAGAGGAGTATTTAGAAAAAATTCCTCAGTACAGCTCAATGTTACCAAAGTTCAGAAACAGTAAAATTGAATAAATATTAAATAAGCCATAAACAAAGATGAATGAAGAATAACTGAAAAAAGTGTTCACCACATGTATAGATATGAAGAAAAAAGTGTTCACCACGTGTGTAGATATGAAGAAAAAAGTGTTCACTATATGTGTAGATATGAAAAAAAAAAGTGTTCACTATATGTGTAGATATGAAGAAAAAAGTGTTCACTATATGTGTAGATATGAAGAAAAAAGTGTTCACTCTATGTATAGATATGAAGAAAAAAGTGTTCACTCTATGCGTAGATATGAAGAAAAAATTCAGCTCTAAATATAAATATAACCAACAGCTACGGTAAAAATAAAACCTAAAGAAATGACTTTACTGTCGTGGAATAGAGATACAAGGCTATGATCATCTGTGTCAGAATTTTGTATTTATGTTGGTTTAGAGCAGTGAAGCAAACAAAAATAAATTAGAAACATAATCTTAATTTACCTGAAATTTTGTTTGACACTGGAGATGAATTATTACTTAACGAAGATCTTCTTGACCTGTGGACATTAAAACCCATGATAAAGGTCAACATTTCTATAGCCACATATAAATATTTTATCTTCTGTTTAGGCTTTACTAATTTAAACATCTAAATTTAAAACTACAAAGTGTTGAGTTTAAGTTAAAGAAAAAGAAAAACCTGTCTACTAACTATGAGCTTGACTGAATTATAGAAATGATCAGTAGCACTTAAAGATTAACACTCAAAGATAATAAGGTGATGAATAGCACTTAAAGATTAACACTCAAAGATAATAAGGTGATGAATAGCACTTAAAGATTAACACTCAAAGATAATAATGTGATGAATAGCACTTGAAGATTAACACTCAGATAATAATCTGATGAATAGCACTTAAAGATTAACACTCAAAGATAATAATCTGATGAATAGTACTTGAATATTAACACTCAAAGATAATAATCTGATGAATAGCACTTGAAGATTAACACTCAGATAATAATCTGGTGAATAGCACTTGAAAATTAACACTCAAAGATAATAATCTGATGAATAGCACTTAAAGATTAACACTCAAAGATAATGATCTGATGAATAGTACTTGAATATTAACACTCAAAGATAATAATCTGATGAATAGCACTTGAAGATTAACACTCAAAGATAATAATCTGATGAATAGCACTTGAAGATTAACACTTAAAAAGAAAGAACTATCCAATACACACTGAGGATTAACTCTCAAAGATAAAGAATTAAACAACAGATCTTGAAGAGTAACACTCAAAGATAAGGATCATGAAATTTCACGACTAATATATGGCAAATGATTAATTATACCAGCAGTGTTATATTACCATTATCCTAGAACATAATTATACCAACAGTGTTATATTACCATTACCCTAGAACTTAATTATACCAACAGTGTTATATTACCATTACCCTAGAACTTAATATTACCAACAGTGTTATATTACCATTACCCTAAAACTTAATTATACCAACAGTGTTATATTACCATTACCCTAGAACTTAATTATACCAACAGTGTTATATTACCATTACCCTAGAACTTAATTATACCAACAGTGTTATAATACCATTACCCTAGAACTTAAGTATACCATCACCCTAAAACTTAATTATACCAACAGTGTTATATTACCATTACCCTAGAACTTAATTATACCAACAGTGTTATAATACCATTACCCTAGAACTTAAGTATACCAACAGTGTTATAATACCATTACCCTAGAACTTAATTATACCAGCACTGTTATATTACCATTACCCTAGAACTTAAGTATACCAACAGTGTTATATTACCATTACCCTAGAACTTAATTATACCAACAGTGTTATAATACCATTACCCTAGAACATAATTATACCAGTGGCATTATATTATCATTATCCTAGAACTTAATTATACCAACAGTGTTATATTACCATTACCTTAGAACTTAATTATACCAGCACTGTTATATTACCATTATCCTAGAACTTATCAGCAGTGTTATAATACCATTACCCTAGAACTTAATTATACCAGCACTTTTATATTACCATTACCTTAGAACTTAATTTTATCAGCAGTGTTATATTTCCATTATCCTAGAACTTATCAGCAGTGTTATATTACCATTACCCTAGAACTTAATTATATCAGCACTGTTATATTACCATTATCCTAGAACTTATCAGCAGTGTTATATTACCATTACCCTAGAACTTAATTATACCAGTTCCAGATGAAAGCTATACATATGAAGGATAATAAATCAACAGGGATGAACAGGTATCTGGAATAGTTTCAAAAGTTTTGATGATCACATTAGGTATTGTCAAACAAAACTCACAAGGAAAAATATCCTAAAAAGACACACAACCATAAGGGTAAGGTAGTGAATTAATGAAGTCTTGCTATTAAACACGGTAATCCCACAATAACTCTGGACCACTGTGCTTATGTGATGAGCATATTACACAAGTTTTATTACACCCTGGTCCTATGGACTATTCTAAAAATAAAAGTAAACTATTTACATGCTTGGCATACTTCTCACCAGCAACTGTCAGCACTGTTTATTATAATTAGCTTAGGGTTAACCTTATATAAACAAGGCTTAAACAAGCCACTTCCTTAGTCTTCATGCAGATTGCCAAAACACATGTTTTACCAGTTTATTTAAACCTCAGAAGATCCATGTGAAAAATTAAAGATAAGGCAAAAAAAAAAGGATTAATTAGGTAAATGAAGTCTGATAGTGTAAAAATAAAAGATACTATAATAGGGGAGCATTGACACAATTTTTGGAGAAAGGTTTTGGAAATACATTTGAACAAATGTGTCAACATCTATCTGTTCAACAAGTTTTAACAAATATATAGTGGATAATAGTCTATAATAATAAAATGTGTGTTTGCTAAGCCACAAAGGTTTAGAAGGTTTTACTGAAAAAACGAAATGTTGTTACTGTCCAAACAAAAGTCACCCTGACCTATCTAATTCAATCTTGTTTCCAACAATATTGTCCTCTTAGGTCTGATACATAATGACTATAACTAAACTATTAATTTAAACATTTTTTTGATGTATGAAATGCATCACCTACTATTATTTTTAATTAAAACTGAATATCTGTTGTCCTTTTATCCAGCCCTCTGGTGACTCATTGGTAAGCTTTAGGACTTCAAACACTAAAATGTGGAGTTTGATTCCTGCAGTAGGTACAGTACAGATAGTCAATTGTGTAGCTACTCAATGATATGATATGATTAATAAAAGATTTGTTTGATCATATCATTCACTACAAGAGGGATCTGTATTTTGAGTAGTCATATGTTTCTACCCATTACAACATACATATCGTATAGAATTAATATAAACAAATGGGTAAAGTCTAATAGTTATTTTCTATGTCAAATACACAGGAAATCCCTGTAGTAATTAACTAATATTTTTATTTAAATGTTTTGTGCAAATTACAATGTGATTTGGGATCCTGTAACCAACGTTCATGAACTCAAAAACAATACAATTTGGTGCATAAATAATATGTTTAACAAGCTATATGGACCGCCACATACAGACAATTGTGGAATTTAAAACATTTGTTCCTGTATTCATCATATCTAATAATTAACATACAACTCAAGTTTCAGCCTCGTTTATTAGACACCTTGAATACTCTATGTCAGTTTTATTAAATATTTTGACTCCTCTAGTGACTGAAAAACTGCCTTAGTAGCTATGAATGAGATCTTAACATGAAAGTAGTTATTGTTAATGCTATGAGTGGTGTTAGGCCAGAGCTTCAAATCTAAAGTAGTTCTTGCTATTATTACCACAAGAGTCACTAGCTTCAAATATAAAGTAATTATTATTATTATTACCACAAGAGTCACTAACTTAAAAACTAAAGTAGTTCTTGTAATTAATACCACAAGAGTCACTAGCTTCAAATATAAAGTAGTTCTTGTTATTATTACCACAAGACTCACTAGCTTCAAATCTAAAGTAGTTCTTGTTATTATTACCACAAGAGTCACTAGCTTCAAATATAAAGTAATTATTATTATTACCACAAGAGTCACTAACTTAAAAACTAAAGTAGTTCTTGTAATTAATACCACAAGATTCACTAGCTTCAAATCTAAAGTAATTATTATTATTACCAAGAGATTCACAAGCTTTAAATATAAAGTATTTTTTTGTTATTATTACCACAGGAGTCCCTAGCTTCAAAACTAAAGTAATTCTTGTTATTACCATGTGAGTCACAAGCATCAAATATAAAGTAATTCTTGTTATTACCATGTGAGTCACAAGCTTTAAATATGAAGTAATTCTTATTATTACCAAGAGAGACACAAGCTTCAAATATAAAGTAATTCTTGTTATTACCATGTGAGTCACTAGCTTTAAATATAAAGTAATTCTTATTATTACCAAGAGAGTCACAAGCTTTAAATATAAAGTAATTCTTGTTATTACCATGTGAGTCACTAGCTTTAAATATAAAGTAATTCTTATTATTACCAAGAGAGTCAACAGCTTAAAATATAAAGTAATTGTTGTTATTACCAAGAGAGTCACAAGCTTCAAATTTAAAGTAATTCTTATTATTACCAAGAGAGTCACAAGCTTTAAATATAAAGTAATTGTTATTATTACCATGAGAGTCACTAGCTTAAAATATAAAGTAATTGTTGTTATTACCAAGAGAGTCACAAGCTTCAAATTTAAAGTAATTCTTGTTATTACCATAAATGTTGTTAGGTCAGAGCTACAAATCTGGTTTACAGAAATCTTAACAATAAAACATAGAGTAGAACAACACAAAAAATTGTGTTTTTTAACTACTGCATAGTCCAGGTGCACTAAAACAAATCCATCACATTCCTACACGAGAGTGTATTTCTTTTAAATATCAAACCCTTACAAAAACAAAGCTTACCAACTATCTAACCCCAACATTAACTACTTCCTGAACCTTAACCTTGAATCCTTCCTGTAGCTGTCATTGCCCTTAAGTTCTGGATCCTTTAGTGACAAATTTCTAAATAAAATCAATGTTTAATATAAGTAAGGTGAAAACCAAATGCCCACCTCTTTAAAAGAGTGCTTCTTTAACTTTCAGTATCTATACTTGGTGTTACAACATGGATAAAAGCACTTACTTGTCAGCAGGTACCTTTACAAGGGTGATGTAACTGTTCCGTACATTTCTCAAGCTTTGCAGAATTTGAGCAAATGGTGTAATCATTGTATCTTGGTCTCCATAACTACAGCAGAAACAAATAATACCACAAAATGTTGAAAATGTTATAATGATATAGTACTTTGAAAACACAAGAAAAAACACAAAACTTTTGAAAGTCTGTTTGTAAAGAATGTTATAATTTAGTCAAACATTATCTAATATAAATACTAAAAGTTCAAATAAAGTCATAAAAAATGTAACTGAAACAAGACACTGGTAAATATTATGTTAAATACTCATACAGAGGCAGGAGTAAAGCTTATAAGGTTACTAATCTTTAGATAAAAATTCACAACTTTTTTTATTGGAGAAAGAAAATAAAGTAACACTATATACTTGCACTATGAAATAAAAATGAGATTAGAAATGTGAACTAATATTTATATTTAAATATAATCAATAAAATTGTATAAGAAATTTCATGCAGAAACAACCATATTAAAGCTTGTTTCTATTAAACGTTAGTCAGTTGAAAGTAGGTAGATTAAGGTTCATGAAGAAAGCTCCATCTGACAATAGGTAACTAAACTATCAACTGTTAGTAGGATGATAGTAGGTAGATTGAGGTTCATGAAGAAAGCTCCACCTGACAATAGGTAACTAAACTATTAACTGTTAGTAGGATGACAGTTGGTACATTGAGGTTCATTAAGACAACTCCAGCTGACAATAGGTAACTAAACTATTAACTGTTAGTAGGATGACAGTAGGTAGATTGAGGTTCATGAAGAAAGCTCCACCTGACAATAGGTAACTAAACTATTAACTGTTAGTAGGATGACAGTTGGTACATTGAGGTTCATTAAGACAACTCCAGCTGACAATAGGTAACTAAACTATTAACTGTTAGTAGGATGACAGTAGGTAGAATGAGGTTCATTAAGAAAGCTCCATCTGACAATAGGTAACTAAACTATCAACTGTTAGTAGGATGACAGTAGGTAGAATGAGGTTCATTAAGAAAGCTCCATTTGACAATACGTAACTAAATTATCAACTGTTGGTAGGATGACAGTAGGTAGATTAAGGTTTAGGAAGAAAGCTCCATCTCACAATAGGTAACTAAACAATCAACTGTTAGTAGGATGACAGTAGGTAGATTGAGGTTCATTAAGAAAGCTCCATCTAACAATAGGTAACTAAACTATCAACTATTGGTAGGATGACAGTAGGTAGAATGAGGTTCATTAAGAAAGCTCCATCTCACAATAGGTAACTAAACAATTAACTGTTAGTAGGATGACAGTAGGTAGATTGAGGTTCATTAAGAAAGCTCCATCTCACAATAGGTAACTAAACAATTAACTGTTAGTAGGATGACAGTAGGTAGATTGAGGTTCATTAAGAAAGCTCCATCTAACAACAGGTAACTAAACTATCAATTATTGGTAGGATGACAGTAGGTAGATTAAGGTTCATGAAAACAACTCCAGCTAACAATAGCAGACTACAATATTAAATATTAATAGGACATTGAGATTTATAAAAAGAGTGCCATTTAAACAAAAGAAATGGACTATTTAATGGTAGGATATTTTGCTTCAATTAAGTTAAAATGACATAAGTAAAGAATACTTTCTCAAGATAAACTCTAAAGTGAAGTATCACCTAACCTGAAAGAATTAGTAACAATGTTAACTGAAATGTTGGACTAAGACTTGAAGGTAACATACCCTACACTGCCAGGAACTTGGAGAAGCTTCTCCCAGAAGGAGTACCGATGTTTGTCCCTGAGAATGCCAGTGCTATAGTTACGTTGGAGCTTTCTTTCCTCCTTTGGAATAACAGCCATTTCACACCATCAATAAGTACGTAGTCTGGACCACAAAATCTGTTCTACCAGGAAGTACTCAAGAAATTCACCATTCAAGCAATCTAAAGAACTGATTCAGAGTATTTTCTTTGAATTATAACAGTTCAAATGAACTTCTCTTCTTAAGCAGTAACATCTGTTCCAACTAAGTCTATTTTGGAGCTTCTCCAACTAAAAACACAGTAGGTATGCAAGCTACACTAAAAAGAAAGAAACAGTAGAACACAAGGTACCAGCCTTCCCTGTGAACTTCATGCTGTTTAAAGGTTCACGTACCTCACAGAACAATTCACCCTTATCTGTGAATATTTAAATGTTTGTGTCACATAAAAAAAAAACTGTAGTAATTATGACAAGGCTATTTCTGGTCTTATCCACCAACCTCCTCTCATGTGCTATTTATAAACACATGTTTACCCAAACTAGGTACGAAGATTAGTATAGCTTTACTTATAATGAATAATACAAATGACATAACAGAAAGGAATGTTATCATCATTACACTGAAGATGAAACATATCCTCTAGCTACACAGTTCACTAACTCTTCCAAAATAAAGTCAGTTCTTCAATCTCTACATTTGCAAATTTCTGGGAAAATGTCCAGAGTGAAAAAGAAAAAAAACTGCTAAAAAATCTCTAAACATTTCCCATAATGTCTCAAATCAGCAATATTTTTTGCCTGTTCCCTTTAAATAAATACCTTTTGATTAATCTAACTCAGTTATTACCTGCACATTATTGATGTAGTGTTGGATGTTAAATAAAGTTTGTTTAAGAAATAATGTTCATATTTCCCACATCTGGCTTTTGTTCTTGATAAGATTTAAGTTTTAGTGTTTTTTTTTTTACTTTTGCAACTGATGAAAGAAACTAATCTTCTACTTATGGCTGGAGACGGCTTGAATGGGTATATATATATATCCATGTCAGTGTAAATTACTT